CCTTTTCCGTAATGGAAAAGATAGAAGTAAAGTAGGTGATTAGTTCCATCTTCTCACTGTGATATTTGCTGAATGGACAGGCAAATCTGTTGACTGACCGATGGTCCATGGTCGTGTGTCTGCCAGGGCTTCGGGTTGTGGTCACCATGTGGCTGTGGCAGTGTGGGTATCACATCTGCATTCAGGACAGGAAGAAGGGGCAGGGGCTGGGACCAGCTGCCTTTGGAAAGGAAAGGCTTGCCAACAGCCACCTGCCTTTTGTAGGCAGGCTGCTTCTACCTTAAATTTGTTTTCACTGGGAGCACCAGCTGGGATACATGGTCCTTTGTGTTGCTGGAATTGCAAGTCTCTAATTTCTATTTCAACTCGAAAACTTTTTTGTTTTGTGCATAAATATAAAAATTAAAATTAAAAATAAATATACTAATAAATAGGTTGTGAAAAACACCCCCCTCCACTTTTCGGAGATAGACATAGTCTGTGGTTTGGTGCATATTAAGTATGTACTGAATACGTAACCTTAATTTTCTTTTTTTTTTTTTAAGATTTTATTTATTTATTTGAGAGATAGAGAATGAGAGAGAGAAAGCACGAGAGGGAAGAGGGTCAGAGGGAGAAGCAGACTCCCCGCTGAGCAGGAAGCCCGATGTGGGACTCGATCCCGGGACTCCAGGATAATGACCTGAGCCGAAGGCAGTCGCTTAACCAACTGAGCCACCCAGGCGCCCCGTAACCTTAATTTTCAGTATTACTGTCGCCCTTGTTTGTTACCACCAGTATGTGACCATACGTACATGTACATTACTATTCTACAACTAGATTTTTTTTCATTTAGCAGTATAGACTAGACACTTTTCCCCATATCAGGACATAACAGCTGTGCCTCATTCTGTCTCACCAGTACATCATACTCTATACTTGTTATTCTCCTGCCCTCATTGATCCATTATCCACCTTGTATCCTCTGTGTGCTGGTGTCTGACCTCGAAGAATGGCATCATCCCGGCTTCCTTGCCCTCTGGCTTCCCGTTGGCGTCAGCTGATAAAAGACACTGATGGGCATCAGAGGGCGAGTGATGAGAGAAGTCAGAGCATTTCTTAGCCCCTCCGCCCCTTGCTGGGGCTCCAGGAGCCGCTGTGCGCGCCTTAGCACCGCTCCTGATGGCTGGCCTCTCTTTTCCAGGGACACCTTTCTGTTTCTTGCTCTTTCACCTCGAAGGCAGGAGTAGCTTCCTACTGTTGAGAGTCCCTGGATGCTTCACCACCCCTGGTTGGTTCCTTTAACTCTGATCACATAGCTATAAAAAACCCCATGATTAACTTCCTTTGGTTAATCCCTTTGCGTGTGCCATCTGTTTCCTGCCACGACCCCGCTGATCTAGATGTCACTGTGTAGACGTACCATAATTCATTTGTTTGGTTTCCTATTGATGGACATTTGAATTTTTTCCTAGTATTTTGTTCTTATAATGAGTGTTGCTAATGAATATTCAGGTACGTATCTTGTAAAGTATTTGTTGGAATGTTGCTGTAGGAAAAAGTCACCGAAATAGAAATGCTGGGTCGAGGTGCATGAATGTTGTAAATTTCAGTAGCTATTGCCCAGTTGCTCCTGGAAGAGTCTATTAGTTTATATTTCTACAATGTGTTGTTTGATTTTTTTTTTAATACTAAAAAATTATAGAGGTATGGGGCACCTGGTGGCTCAGTCACTTAAGCGTGCGACTCTTGGTTTCCGCTCAGGTCATGATCTCAGGGTTGTGAGATAGAGTTCCACGTCGGGCTCTGCGCTGAGTGTGGAATCTGCTTAAGGTTCTCTCTCCCTCTCCCTCTGCCCCTCTGGCTCATGCTCTCTCTCTCTCAAATAAATAAATCTTAAATTATAGCGGTAATACTTGTGACTTTACAACAAATAAATTTAACTTAGAGGTATATAAAGGGAAAAGTACTTCCCATTGTTTCATCCTATTTCCTGGAGATAACCACATCAGCAGTTACCTGTGTATCCTATCATGGTTTTTTTTTCTTTATGAAATTTATATGCTTATCATAGAATAAATTCATATATAGATGGATGAAGTAAATTCATTTATGTGTGTGTGTGTGTATGTCTCTTCTGAGAGCTCATTTGTAGACTCTGTTCTCTGCTCTACTGACCTATTTGTCTTTTCCTGTGCCAGTACCCATCTGTCTTAAGAATTACAGCTTTGAGTCAGTTTTGATATCTGGTAAGGCACATCCTCATCTCATTATTTTTTATTTAAAAAAATTTCTGGGCTCTTCTTCTTGGGCAGAAAGTCTTCAGATTAACTTTAGATTTAAGTTAAAAAAAAAAACCCCACAAAACCATGGTTTTTGACTGGAGTCAGACTGGGTTTATAGAGAACTGAAATATTTCCAATATTGAAACTTCTCACTTAGGAGCCTATTGTGTGTCTTTATTTATTCAGATCTCTTATGTCCATTGGTGAAAATCTTGCCCATTTCCTCCTGTTTATTTTTAGATATTTTATAGATTTTGTTGCCATCATGAATGGAATTCTTCCCCATGCATCTTCTCATCAGTATTGCTGGTATAGTTTTTAAGAAGCTGTTGATTTTTTTTTCTTTTTCTTTTAATTTAAATTCAGTTAGCCAACATATAGTACATCATTAGTTTCAGAGGTAGAGTTGAATGATGCATCAGTTGCATATAACACCCAGTGCTCATCACATCACGTACCCTCTTTAATAAGCCTGTCAGCCAGTTACACCATCCCCCACACCCTCCCCTCCCCCAACCCTCAGTTTCTTTCCTATAGTTAAGAGTCTCTCATAGTTTGTCTCCCTCTCTGATTTCTTCCCATTCAGTTTTCCCACCCTTCCCCTATGATCCTCTGCACTGTGTCTTATATTCTTCATATGATAATTGTCTTTCTTTGACTGACTTATTTTGCTCAGCATAATACCCTCCAGATCCATCCGCATCATTGCAAATAGCAAGATTTCATTTTTTTGATGGCTGAGTAATATTCCAGTGTGTGTGTGTGTGTGTGTGTGTGTGTGTGTGTGTGTGTGTGTATGTGTATACACACCACATCTTTATCCATTCATCTGTTAATGAACATCTGGGCTCTTTCCCTACTTTGGCTATTGGACATTGTTGCTATGAACATTGGGTGCAGGTGCCCCTTCGGATCACTGCATTTGTATCTTTGGGGTAAATACCTAGTAGTGCAACTGCTGGGTCATAGGGTAGCTCTATTTTTAACTTCTTGAGGAACCTCCAAGAAGCTGTTGATTTTTGTGGGGTGCCTGGCTAGCTTAGTTGGAAGAACATGTGACTCTTAATCTTGGGGTTGTGAGTTTGAGCCCCATGTGGGGCTTACTTACTTAAATACTTATTAATTTACTTAAATTACTTAAATAAGTAAAACAAAAGAAAAAAAGAAGCTGTTGATTTTTTGTAAATTAATCTTATAATCACCTACTTATTAGTTCTAATGGTTTTTCAGTTGATTCTCTTGGCTTTTCTGGATGGACAGCTAAGTCTACAAATGATAACTTTTTATCACTTTATTTATAATATTTATATGTAATTTCTTTCTCATATGTTATTTCCTGGCTAAGATATCTGAGTGAGGTGGGGGGGTGATCCTGGGAAGTCTTCCCTGCCAATGTTCCATTTCAGGTGAGCATCAGAGAATGTGCCATAGGCAAAACAGCAGTGTGGCTGAGAATGTCCCAGGCAGGCCTCGAGGAGAGAAACAAGGCTATGTTCAGTGAATTGGAACAGGACACAGACAGGGTTGGGAGGTGCAAGAGATGGTTTGGAGAGTAAAATAGGGGCACAGTCAGAAGCGGCTAGACTCTAAGGAGCAATGACTTTTATTTTAAAGGAATTGAGAATTGAATGAAAGGTGTGTGAGGCAGAATGGCACCCCAAAGATGTCCACACCCGAATCCCTAGAATCCATAAATATGTTCCCTTATGTGGCAGAAGGGACTTTACAGATGCAGTTAAGACCACAGACCTTAAAACAGGGAGATTATCCTGGATTCTTCAAGTGGGCCCAACCTAATCACATGAGCCTGAGAAGCAAAGAAGTTTCTCTGACTGGAGGCAGAAGCAAGATGTGGTAGAAGGGGAAGTTGGAGAGATTCAGAGAAGGACCTAACCCACTCTGGCTGAAGGGGGGCCATGTTGAAAATATGAGAAGGAATACAGGAGCAGAGACTGTGATAACCAGCAAGGAGATGGGGGGGGGCGGACCTTGGCCCTGAGCTGCAGGGAATTGCATTCGGCCAGTAGCTGGAATGAGCGAGCTTGGAAGTGGCTTCATCTTCAGAGTCTGCAGAGCAGAACACAGCCCTGCCGCCCCCTTGGTTTTGGCCCTTGGGAGACCCCATGCAGAGGACCCTGCTGAGCCACACCGTACCTGGACTTTGGGCCTCCAGAAGTCTGAGATAATAAATTCGTGTTGTTTTCAGCCACCGAGTCTATGGTGTTCTGTTTCAGCTGCAGTGGAACACTAAGACAAAGGGGTTTGAGCAGGAGAGTAATGTCAGATTTTGTGTTATTAACAGATCTGTCCTACTTCTGTGTGGAAAATGGATTTGGGAGAGTGCAGTTTGGAGGCGGGGAGCTTGTCTCTGGAAATGCAGTGGTGGCGTGGACTAGGGTAGTGATGGGGGCCAGGGGGTGTGATTGGGGATTTACCTGGCAGGTTGGAATTGCCAAAATTTGGTCATTGATTGGATGCTGGGAATGAGTGAGAGGAGGGACGCAGGGACGATTGCTGGTTTCTGGCTTGGATACTGGTGAAGCTGTTTCTTGAGACTAGGACTAGCAGGTTGGAGGATGCCATGTCAGGAAGTCCGTGGTAACTCTAGGTGGCTCTTCATTTGGAAATTTTCCTATACGCACTTATTCTAAGGTAGAGTATATCAACAAGGTGATTGCTTTATCCTTTAAGACCTAAATTGGTTTATTTTTTTATTTTTTTATTTTTATTTTTTAGGTCATGTAGGAAATCGTAAATCATGTGAAGATGGGACTCTTGGTATTTGTGCGCAATCTGCTGCTAGCCCTCTGCCTTTTTCTGGTACTGGGATTTTTGTATTATTCTGCGTGGAAGCTCCATTTACTCCAGTGGGAGGACTCCAGTAAGTATGGTCGCTCCAGCCTGCCCCCAGGAAAAGCCCGGCCCAGAGTGGTAACTGGGCGTTTGGGGGCTGCGGTGCTTTCATATTCTTCAGAGACGGGCAGTGAGAGGAAGCCGCCAACTCCTGGAACTTAGAGGCTCAGACATTGCCTGCCATTTTTGTGGCTGTAGGTTGAGAACTTTGATGTTCTTCAAAAACTGCATGCCATGGCACATCCTTTTATGATTGCGGTGAAAACATGCTATTCTGCAATAAAACCCCAAACTCTACCAGCATGTCTAGTTTTTGAATGCTGTTCTTTTTAATTACTGCGGTGTCTTGCCGCTCCCATTTGTATTCATTGCCTTAGGGCTGGGGGTTGAAGTTGGTTTTCTCCTGCCCTGAAAACAGTCACCTCTACCTTTTCTTTGAATTTTCAGTTTTCAGTTTAATATTGTCTTTGCTTTATTTTCCCTGAAGAAATTTTGCCTGCCTAATTATTTTGCCCTTGCTTGCCCCGAACTTGTACCTGAATAGAATAATGGCTTTTCTCCCCACCTCCCCAGTTAACTCTAAATCCCTTTCTTTGGCTTGTACCTGCAGCCTCTGTGGTACACAGTGTTTCCTACCTAGCCTTCTGCTCCTCTCTGACTTGGTTTCCATTCGTCCAGTGTGGCCCGTGTTGTGGCTTTAGGCTTGCAGTTGAAGGGCTCACTTTGGGCAGCACTGCCCTTTGCATGTTCTCTTCTTGGACGTAGCTTGAAGTGTCACACATGGGCCGTAAGGAGTTTTCCTTTTGGTTCTTTTGTCTGATGGCTGTCTGAGCTTGGCACAGGAGACATTGGGTAGTGGGTCCTGATTCCTAGTGAATGTGATTTATCTAAGATAGTTTTCTTTTTACAAATATCAACTGATACCAGTGTAGAATTTACTCAAGAGTAGAGTCAGTCTGTAGGTGCGAGGTTAAAGTGAGGTAGAAGGAGTTGGCAGAGGCAGCTGCAGTTGGGCCCTGCTAGTGTGTTAAGACCTTAATATGGGAACCATTCCTATGAAGTAGTTCATTTCTTTCTTACCTGGCCCAAACTCCTGAAGCATTTTCAAGCCATTTTTTTAAAATGTAGTGTTACGTCTTTAATTTATTATTTTATGTGTAATGTTTAAGTACCTCTTAAATGCTTAGCTTATAATTTTAACTAATTACTTTGGGTTTCCAGAGTTTATTTAAATTTCTCTCTTCCAACTTATTTTTAAAATCAAGGAGACTACCCAGGATAAAGTGTTTGTGTCAGGGTAGTACAAAATTCTGTAGTGAAAAGCACTGTCTATATCCATAATGGATGGATTCATCTGTATCCATAAAATAGATGGGAATAGTTTTAAGGAATGGAGGTCTCCTTTTCTGTTGAGTACTATTGACCTGTAGACAACATAACCAAGAATTAGATAATATTTTCCCAGAGAAGTTAAGAAGGACATTAACTTTATGGAAGGCCTATTGTATGTCAGGTTTTAGGCTAGACAGCTTACAAATTTTAGTTAATTTACTTCTCGCTCTTGGGGCGCCTGGGTGGCTCAGTCGGTTAAGCATTTGCCTTCCACTTAGGTCATGATCTCGAGGTCCTGGGATTGTGCCCCACAATGGGCTCCCTACTCAGCAGCGAGTCTCCTTCTCCCTCTCCCTCTGCTCCTCCCCCTGCTCTGTTCTCTCTCTCCCCCTCTTTCTCTCTCAAATAAATAAATAAATAATCTTAAAAAAAAAATTACTTCTCACCCTAACCATGTGGAGATGCTGTTATCCCTGTTTTTCAGCTGAGCAAACGGAAGTATTTAATTAATTTACCTAAGTTACACAGCTCATTATTAGAGCTGGAATTGAATCCTAATTTGTCTTTATTTAAAGAAAAAAAATTTTAAAGATTATTTATTTGAGAGAAGGAGCACGCGCATGCGCGCGCACACAAGAAGAGACAGGGGCAGAGGCAGAGGCAGAGGGAGAAGCAGACTCCCTGCCGAGCAGGGAGCCCAACGTGGGGCTCGATCCCCCTGAGCCGAAGGCAGACGCTTAACCGACTGAGCCACCCAGGCGCCCCTATTTTTAAAATTTTTTATTTATTTTAGAGAGAGAGCATGTGTGTGCGTACAAGCGAGTGAGGGAGAGAGACAGAGGGAGGAGAGGATTTTGAGCAGACTCTGCACTGAGCGCAGAGCCCTACACGGGGCTCAATCTCACAACCCTGAGATCATGACCTGAGCCGCTATCAAGAGTTGACGCTTAACTGAGTGAGCCACCCAGGCGCCCCCTGATTTGTCTTTAAAGCCTATGTTCATTATGATATAGAAAAGTACAATAAGTACAAAGACTAAGGATAGGATTGAATCCTGTATTCTGATTGGTAAGAAGAGAGGAGAGGGACTCAGAAGAAATAGTAGAGAGCATCAGGAGGGCAGTGGAGAAAGAAAAAGGAAGGAAAGTAGGGGGGAGGGACAGAAAGAAAGAGCTCCAGATGACGGAGGGCTTTATGAGCTTGGAGATGGTGCTGTAGGCTTGCTTCAGTAGGTGAAGAATAGCTGTCTGCTTTTCCTTTGAGTGAGTTTTCAGCTGAATAACCACTATTTGCATCTTTTTGTTATTCCGACTTCCAGCCTTTCAGATACTTGACTTTGAATAGGTTGTTTTAGACCATCTTACTGGAGCATATTGTCACATCAGAGGGCAGGGTACTATGACTAACTCTGAAGGCTTACCAGGGCTGAGGGGGGACCTTTACTCCACACAAGTCAGCCGGAGGGAGTGCCCTAAGGCAGGGAGATGACTGCTGGGGAGGGAGAGTTGGGCTGCCGTTAATAATGAGAAGAGTGACTTAGTGGGTGTCTCCTGTGTCTGCACTGTAATGAGAACTTCGCATTCCTAATTTTGTTTAATCCTCATAGTTTAGATTGATCATTACTGTCCTGCCTTACAGGCGTAGAAGCTGAGGCTTCAAAGAGGCTCAGTAAAGAGTTTGTATGTCTTTCATGCAAGGGCATTTTACAAATTTGAAAAATAAATGTCTTTAGCATTATGTTTCCTTAATTTTTATACTTTTTATGACTTACCAAGATGATGTATTGGAATTCCTTCATAGTGGTGGTGGAGGGGGTCTAGAGATTTTTATTATTAAATTATTCATTTAATAAATAGTATATTCCTATTAGGGTACATGTGCTTTTCTGTGTAACTGGATGTAAGATGCATAGACCTTTATGCTCGCGGCCTGGAACACGAGAAAGAAATAAAACAGCTCTTATATGTTGCATTCTAAAAGAGACGTCTGTATGAAATGCCATGTTGGAGCATAGAAACCCTTCCAGATGGAAAATTTTATGATTTCATTAATCCCAAGACATATTGTGGCAGGATGCAAACTGCTTTGTTTTGAGCAACTTAGAGCTGTGCGTGGTCAAGTCTTGGTCAGATTGCTAGGACTTGGCTCAGATGCTTAACCTGAAAGACTTTAAGTAGAAGATTGGTCTAGTTATCAACCTGTTTTTAAATTTATTTTTTTATTAAGTAGACTCCACATCTAGCATGGAGCCCAGTGCGGGGCCTGAACTCATGACCCTGGGATTGAGACCCAAGCCGAGATCAAGAGTTGAACACTCAACTGACTGAGCCACCCAGGCACCCCTCAACCTGTTTTTAAAAGTTCTGCAGCTTGGGGCGCTTGCGTAACTCAGTCGATAGAGAGCATGCGACTCGTGATCTCAGGGTCGTGAGTTCAAGCCCCACATTGGGCATGGAGCCTACTTCAAACAAACAAACACAACAACACTGAGATACCGCCACATATCTATCAGAATGGCCAAAATCCAGAACACTGACAACACCAGATGCCAGCGAGGATGTGGAGCGACAGGAACCCTCATTCATTGCTGATAGGAATGCAGAATGGTACAGTGACTTTGGAAGACAGTTTGGCAGTTTCTTATAATATGAAAGATACTCTAACTCTGTGATCCAGTCACATTCCTTGGTATTTACCCAAAGGAGTTAAAAGCTTATGTTCACACACACAAAAAAACAACCCTGCGTACAGATGTTTATAGCAACTATATTCATAATTGCCAAAACTTGGAAGCAACCACGATGTCCTTTAGTGGTTGAATGGATAAAGAAACTATGGTAGATCCAGACAATGGAATATTATTAAGTACTAAAAAGAAATAAACCATCAAGTTATGAAAAGACACAAAAGAGCCTTAAATGCATATTTCTTTCTTTTTAAAGGTTTTATTTATTTATTTGAGAGAGAGAGACAGAGATAGCGACCAAGAGCACAAGTCGGGGGGAGAAGGAGAAGCAGGCTCCCCACTGAGCAGGGAGCCTGATGCAGAACTCAATCCCAGGACCCTGGGACTCCAACCCGAGCCAAAGGCAAACGCTCAACCAACTGAGCCACCCAGGCACCCCCTTAAATGCATATTTCTAAGTGAAAGAAGCCAGTCTTAAAATGCTACGTCCTGCATGATTCCAACTTTATGACATTTTTGGAAAAGGCAAAACTATGAAGAAAATAAAAGGATTAGTGGTTGCCAAGGTTGGAAGTGAGGGGAGTGACATATAGGCAGGGCATAGAGAATTTTTAGGGTGGTAAATCTGTATGATACCATAATGATGAATATGTTTTTCTACTTTTGTCCAAACATATAGAATATACAACACAAAGCATAAACCCTTATGCAAACTATGGACATTAGGTAATTATGATGTGTCAGTGTAGGTTCATTACTTTTGGAAGTATACCACTCTGATGAGGGATATTGATAATAGGGGAGGATACACATGTGTGGAGGCTGGAGATATATGGGAAATCTCTGTACTTACCTCTAAATTTGTTGTGAACCTAATACTGCTCTAAAAAAATAGTCTGAATAAAAGAAGTACTGTAGAATTATTATACTTTATGTATGTGTGTGCATGTATACACACACACACACATAGTATGGTAGAAATATATACATACATATATTTAACTTAATGA